ATCAGTCCACCCATCTGTCCATCTATGCATCTATCTACTTGGGTGCATGTGTGTGTCACGGTGCACTTGTGGAGGTCAGAGGATTCAGGAGCTATAGTGTTCTTGCTTTCCACCATGTGTATCCCAGGGATCAAACTCAGGTTTTGAGGCTTGGAAGCAAACACCTTATTCTCAGAGCCAACTTGGCTTGCCACAAACTTCCAATTTAAGAATGGTAAGGCTTACATTGTGAAAGAGGTAAAGTGTAATAACAATTTTCTAACTGACCACGACAAATATCTGTGAATCAACCAGGACACCAAATGAAAATAATGTTATGTGTTGAACATGTTGCTTACCAAGATTATTACATATAAAACTCTCAAAAACAGTGCAGGAACACCACCATAAAAGAGATAAGATAAAATAAAACAATTGGCTAATATTATCACTACTAAATTTACAGGCAAACACAATTGAGAATCGTTTTCCCCATGAAAGACACAGAAAACATTACGGAGGTCCATCTCTTGGGAATATGCCTAAAATTATATGGCTGTGGGTTCTGTCCTCAACACCGCAGATTAACAACTTAAAATATAATAGAAACACCAGAATTAGTTATGGAAAAAATAGTTTAGTACTATTCATATACTATGCATATTTTAGGTATGCAAATTGGGTAAATGGTATACACAGAGTTTTATTTCCTTAATTAAAGAGAAAATGCTATTTAACATTTTTTGGAAGGAAAATCAAGAACCTCCTGCTTTTCAAGTCAAGGGCTTATAACTGAAGTATATCACAAGTTCCCCAAACACTCATTATAAAAAATACCTAATTTTAATTTTGGGAAATCCTAGAGAAAATTCTTCTAACTATTCCTTTTTTGTCCACAAATTCCTATGTATTTTCATCAAGAAATTTTAATGCATATAGAAGCTTAAACATATTCTTGTGCACAGGAGAACTGCTCAGCAGTTAAGAGCTTTGGCTCTTCTTCCTGAGATCCCTGCATGCAATTCATGCAGCTCCTAACTGCTTGTAACTTAAGGACCAGTGAAACTGAGGTCTTACCTTGGCTTCAGCAGGCACCTGCACTCATATCCCACCCATCCTCACATCCCTACTATAAAACTAAATAAATACACTTTACAAATTCTTGTTTATTTTATTTATGTCTAAGAAATGACTAAAAATTTATGTTGAGATTTAACTACAAATTTACTATAGGATTTCTAGAAACACAAGATCTTCAGAAAAAACACCATTAACAAATTATTTTATAAAAGAAAATCATAAGTATATGCTACATTGAGGTCTCCCTTGGGCAAGCATAAAGGACTATATTTCTTGTTTTAAGAAGCAATTAATTTCAAATGTGTTAATGATGGTGAGTTTTCCTTCACTGTGACTGGTTTCCTCACCTGAAAATAAACTGAAGGTTGGGTAGTAGACTCAGTGGAAAAGTGTTTGCCTGACAAGCAAGAAAGCCCAAATGTGATCCTTAAAACTCAGCCTTAGCACAGCAGGGACAGGCTTGTTCACGCCTCATGGTAGCCTTTACCTGTTGTTGGGTGGGCTAGGGGTGAGGCAGGGGGTGAAGTGAAGGGGGTGGGGCATGGGGGTAGGGGTGGGAGATGGGGTGGGATGGAGGGAGAACTTTGGTTGGAAAGTAAAATTAATTTAATAAAGTAAATAAATAAAAGAAAAATGTCATAACCATTTGTATGATAAATTTAAAAATTATAAGAAAAATGGACACTCAAAACAAAAAAAAACTTGAAAGGAAAACAAACAAAACCAAAACCAAAATCAAATCAAGCAAGAATAGTCACAAAGGAGAGTGGATGTCTCCTGAGGGACAATACTGGGGATTGTCCTCTGACTTCCCCATGTGCACACATTTTCAGGCACATACACTTGAACACACAATTGCACACAGAGAAAGACACACATACAACCAAACAAAGGAAACTTGGACTCAGCATGGAAAGAAGGAACCAATGTAAACATGTACAGAAAGGGAAAGCAAGTGTCTGCACACCAGGAAGAGAGGCTGTGACCACCTTTTCTTAGCATCCCTCAGAAGATACCAACTCTGCTGACCTCCTTTTGGACTCTTTGGCTTCTCAAATTCTGGGACAAATCATTTCTGTTGCTGAATTCCCCACACCTTCAGCACTTGCAGTGATGGCCCTGGCTAGTCATGACTATAATGGGACAAGTCTCATATTTGGAGAGCAAACTTCATGCTGTTGTTCTCCGAGGGAGAGTCTCCTGGACCAGTCAGGGCAATGAGCTCATGGCAAGACCACCAAGATTCAGTTTGACTAATGCATGATTTGAACCACATGAAAGAGGCACTCAGTAAGGAAACGGTAAGTTGCAGAAGCCTTTGAAGAAAGAGGCTTTTATTGACACATATATGTAATAAACCTTAGTTGTTTCCATCCTCATTGCCCTCTCTTCTTCCCTGTTGCCTCTTCAGCCTAAACCTTCCTTTGATTAGTGTTTCCTGCAAAAGCATGTGTGGGAGATAGTGAGTTCTTTTTTTTTTCCTTCTTTTCGAGACATTGCTTTGGAGTCTGTCCTGGAACTCACTCTGTAGACCAGGCTGGCCTGGAACTCACAGAGATCCTCCTGGTTCTGCCTCCCAAGTGCTTGGATTAAAGGCATGTGCCACCAACATCCAGCTGATAGTGAGTTCATTCTTTTTCTTTTTCTTTCCATTATTTATTTAGCTCATAAATAAAGTCATGCACAATTATGATACATAATACAGTATGTTCACAATGGCATGGCTAAATTAAACCAATTAACATGTTATATCACACATATGTATCATTTTTGTTTTGAGAACACTTAAAGTATACTATCTCACAACTTTTAAAATATAGCATATTGTTATCAACCATATTTATCATGCTCTCAGTAGACCTCAAGGACATCACAGAGTCCATGCCTCTTGTCCAACT